TGGTCTCTCATATCGAAATTCTTGGCTATGATGGGTATGGATCAACTTAACGTCTGTGAGGTTAGGTGGTGCTTAGCGGTAATAGACACACAGGAAGATAACAGTTGTGGCTGTGTTGGTTATCACAATTGATTTGCGCCAAGTGCATAAAGTGAACAAATTATTAAGAGGTTTTACCCATCCATCTGTCTGTGTTTACAAAAGTCTGTCGTTGGATCCAGTTTTGTATCGCTTGAAACCAGACTTCACCTTTATACCTAAGCTGAAGAATCTCCACTGTTAGAAGCCGTTAGCAGAGAACGGTGTGTGAAGACACAGCAGGCTGGAGAAGACTTAGCGTGTGCTGTGGTGATTTGTGAATGGCGGAGATGTTGCTGCAATTACTTATAGTTCCAAGTCGTGTGTACAAGTGGTCAGTAAATCCAATATCCAATCCAGAGCCCCGTCTGTAGTCACACCGTACTACGTGACAATATTAATTAACAGTGGCTCTACAGTCCTTTGTTCGGCCCTCCCCGCTTTTTCAGTTTCGTTATCCTATACATATTCGGTAGGACTCTTTGGACGGGGTATCAGCCCGTCGCAAGGCCCCTACCTACTCACAGAAGAACACAGACACAGAATAAATGTACACAGACATCCATGTCGCGAGTGGGATTCGAACCCACGATCCCAGTTCTCAAACGGCTGAAGACGGTTAGTGCCTTAGACCGCGCGGCCACTGTGATTGGCTCAGATATTTATATGCCGGTGGCAAATTCAAGTATACTTACACAGGACTTTTCTTCCGTAAGGTTTCCTACACAAGCTATGTGACTTACCCCTGGTTACTAAGTATGTGAATTATAGGGCCGCGCCATAGCTCAAGCGGTTAGTCGCTGGCTTCCCACCGCCACGGCCAAGGTTCGATCCCGGGTCTGGTCAAGTGGGATTTATGGTGGACAAAGTGGCGCTGGGGCAGGTTTTCTCCGAGTACTTCGGTTTCCCCTGCCAATCTTCATTCCACCAATTGCTCCACAATCACCCTCACCTATCATCTGGGGCTGGTACAATAGGCCAGAAGTGGCCTCAGTACAAGGGACTTAGTCCCACTCCACTAGCATAAAGAAATGTGGATTATACTTGGACTTTGCTACGGTATCACAGGATGTATTATATATCTATCCTGTGCTCTGGGGACTATAGCTCAGTCGGTATAACATCTAGCTATGGCTTGGAGAGCCAAGAATCGTGGTTCGAGTCCCGTCATGGGCAAAATTTGTTCTCTCCTCCGCAGCGTCCAGACCGGCTTTGTCACCCACACAGCCTCCTCTTCTGTGGGCACAGGGGCTCTTTCTCCGGGGCGTAAAGCGGTAGGGACGTGAATCCTGCCACTCACCTGCATCTAGTATGAAATTCATGGATGGTGGAGCTATACCTCCACTCCCTCATAAGTCTTCATGGCGTTGTGCTTTTTTGCCTTTACATTCCGATGATTCTGAGTGAAAAACAGGTTTTAGATCGCTTTCGACTAGTTAGTTAGTTATTGGAGATGGTGGGTTTCCCCATGCACTGAGACCTGTATTGGTCCATTGTGCTTCCCTCCATGATTTCTACCAGTCTCTATATCCTACCCGTACTGGTGCTTACCATCAGTCCCGCCCAGCCAGCGAGACCGGCTCTACTAGCTGAGAGGTATCTATAATGCTTCCCCCATCTACCAGAGGTATTAGAGACTGCTGTTGGGCGGGAAACGTCCGTAATTTGGCTCAGTGACCTCCTTTGGAGATATGAGGTTCTTTTACGTGCCGTAAAGCTACGACACGGGACCCACGGCTTAAAGTCCCTCCCGGAGGACTTGTTCCCTGAATTTTTCCGCCCTTAAAAATTCGACGACCTCCGCCGGGTATTTGAACCCGCGTACTACGAGTCATGAGGTGGGAACGTTACCTCTAGACTACGGAGGCCGCTTCGCTTTCGACTAACTTCTAGTAGAGTTTGTCTTCTCTTTATTATGTGTTGTTCTTCATTACAATAATTAGGCATTAGCCTGTTAGGAGGTCTCGTCTGTGACGCTCTCCATCTCTTTCTTTGTTGTCCCGCATCTCTTTTGGCGTGTGTAACTCAGATAACTTGTTTAAGAATGCGGGTCCCTTTTCTTCCGTCTTCTGGTTCAGTGATATTATTCCCTGTTGTACCCATATATATTTACTTCGTACTTTACTGCAACAACTCACAGATCTTAAAAATATCTTCTCAGTTGTCTGTATTTGCTGCCAGTATTTAATCTTCGTAGCTCAAGACTCGCTGCCATAAAACAGTACTGAGTCTGCAGTTCACAGGATAAATAAAGGTCCTGTGCATATATCAGGATCTGATCTCTCGTATTCTCATATCTCATTTTATTGGATTTTCGTAATCGCCTTTTAGAAAGCAGAGTTTCGAAGGAATGCGTGATAAATCATGTTCTTGTTTCAGGCAGTTTACATTGATATTCATTCGTATTTTTTAGATAGAAAATCTGGTTTTAAAATTATTTACTAAGTACAATATTAATATATTTGTATTACGAGTATATGCTTTTTGGAGTAGGGTGGGGCCCTATGAGTAATTAGGGCTCCATCTCATCCCTATAAGCCCCTGCTTAGAACTGTATGGATTTAACTGTGTAACGCACTTAGTGACTAGACACGGGGTTTGGATTCGTAACTGCATTTATTGAACTCTTGTAAGTCGTAACTACGCGTAATTATAGCGCTGTCGCTAATTCGCGAACTTTACAAATCACTACAGCACATACCATGTCTTCCCAGTCTGCTGTGTCATAAGTCGTTGCCGGGTAACGGATTCCAACAATATCCTCTTTTTCCGTGCTTGCGTCATTACTAGCTGGCGACTGTCTCGCATCTAACCCATGACGGCGACTTACATTCTCGAATGACTGACTTCAGTCCGTCGGTTAAGTTGTTGCTGGCCTTCGCCAGCACATTTATTCCTGGCGAGGTCCAAAATCAGATTTACTTTACGACTGACAATTTACCGCTAAACAGTTCATCTAGGCGCCAAGCCCCTTGAGACTCACGATCAGAGATTTTTTTTAACAGAATCCTTGCGGTCATAGTCCTTATGTAACATCCTCTCTGACGAGAAGGTGGGGTTGTCTCTCATGAAAGTGTTTTACTTTCATCAAAT